GGGTCGTTCGTCAGTTTAACCCACCAGGCACAGACCGGTTTCGGACTTATTAGTCCTCATCAGTGTGTCATAGGTGAGACAACCGACGAACGAACCAGCTGTTTTGCGTCGTATCGTCACGACAAGGAAACACATTGTACACAAATGGCTCCATCTGTCGCGCTGACTCCCAACTGTGCCATTCAATGTATTTCCTTGTCGTGACGATACGACGCAAAACGGCTGGTTCGTTCGTTGGTTGTCTCACCTATGACACACTGATGAGGACTAATAAGTCCGAAACCGGTCTGTGCCTGGTGGGTTAACCTGACGAACGACCCTACCTGTTGCACTAGGTGTTGCGAGTATAATTCATTGCCGGTAGGGGCATATAGCCCTTGGAGTAGTTGTTTCTCGCAACATTGACATTTAAAACATTGTATTAGTTATTTAAAAAAAACGGCTAAAAATCGCATTTTTTAAAAACTATATCTTTAAAATGAAAAAAGATTTTTTTACAAAACTTTCGGGATATGTAGTCCTTGGCAAGTAGAATAAATGCATTTTTGTAAAATTGTGTTATTCAAAAAAAAGAAAATTTTTCCAAGTTTCAATAAATCATACAGTAATGCACTTACGTGATCCATCTTGGGCTTAAAATTTTCTCCTAAGAGTTGTACTTTCCTGTGCAAATTGTACGCATATTGCAAAATAATTGGAATTATGCAAAAAATCTATCGAAACTTTAAGTTCTTTTTTCGGGTCGCAAAATGTTGATTTTTTTCTTATCGTTGAAATTTAATGGCAATAGTATTTGAAAACTCACATTTTTGAAAGAATTTTAAAAAATGTCCTATGACCAACAGGAGCCAAGATTTTTTTTTTTGTTTCAAAAAATCGCTACGACCTCATTTATTAATATTAAGGTCTAAAATTTACACATGATGTAGTTGAATACTTTTACTTTTTACCTTTTTATTACGGTAAACTTAATTTTGTTGGGCTCCGTAAAATGCTTGCTCCGCTCAACACAACGAATAATCGTTCAAAACTGAGCAGACACGCCGAGCACTAACTGAGAACGTTGAATCACAGTTTTTCTCCCCCCACCATCATGCGCATCAACGTATCGAATGGAGCAAGCATTTTTTTATATTGAAGTAAAAGTATTCAACTACAACTTGTGTAAATTTCAGAGGTTAATATTAATAAATGACGTAGCGTTTTTTCGAAAACAAATGTTTTTCTAGATTCCTGTTGGTCGTAGGATAACATTTTTGTTTTAAATTCATGAAAAAATGCCAGCTTTTAAATGCAGTAAATAATGCCACTCCGATTAAATTTTAATCATTAGAAAAAGATCTACATTTTTCTACTCAAAAAAAAAAGAAGTTTTATATGAAAATCAATGTGTTCAAGCTTTGACACTAGAAAATGGCTAAGTAACATTGTATTTTGCGATTAACTTTTCAAAGCAACATAATCAAAACTTTTTGGGATCAATTTTACTGAGTGATGAATTCTTATT